ACACTCGGTAACCCGTACGATCACCGAAGTTAAGCAACATACAGCCGGGTTAATACCTAGATGGGTAATCACTTGAGAATACCAGATGCTGTAAGCTGTGATGTGCGAGTGGTGTAATGAGAAAGGCTCGTAATTGGAAATCAGTGAATCGAGTTTCAATTCCAGTCAGGGTCGTTATATCCACTTATGGTCAAATGACTTTGAGAAAGGTATGAATCTACCTATTCTCCTCCTAACTATGGAATAATTTGCATTACTTATATTAGTAAATCATAATTATCTATCAAAAATTCTTATAATGTAGAAATAAATTTTCTGGTTTGAAATAACAAGCAAGTGGTTGATAAGCCATAAAATATATCATTCAATCAATCAATCAAAAAAGCAAAATGACATCCACTCACTTGACAAGTAGACATATTTGTCTATATTTCTGAGATTATTTAAAATATTTACAATGTTCGGACTGTTAGAAGAAAACAATAATAACCACAAAATTATAATATGAACTCTGGTAAAAAAAAAAAAAGATTACTGAGACATTAGATTTATAAGTCCCAAAAATCCATACACTGGTTTCCTGTGGATAAAAGCGTTGGTAATCTAAATAGTTGTGAATTCAATACCTGGATAAAGGAGAGGTTAACAACAAATTCGAGATCAAAGATTATGAATTTTGACAGTATGTAATTTGGTCAGATGAAAGTAAATTCTGCTTTTATTCGAATTAGAAAACAGGTTTATGTTTGGAGAAATCAGAATGAGACTCGGAACACTGAATGTCTGAAGACAACGGTCAAATATGGAGGGATTGAAGCAATGGTGTGGGGCGCGGTCTGCTTTGGAGGGAAATCTGAAATGATTCTTGTTGAGCGGTTGAATGGTCCAAAACAATATCAAATATTAGAGAAAGGACTACTTCCACTATTTGAAAGCAATCAAATTGACAAGGATGTCTACCTTTTTCAAGAAGATAGAGCATCATGCCATAAGAGCAAAGTAGCAAAGGCCTGGAAGAAATCGCAAGGAATCAAGATACTGCCATGGGTAGCTCAAGTCCAGTAGAGCACGTTTGGGAGCACCTTGATCGAAAACTTTGAGAGCGTGCAACCAAAATCACGTCAGTGGCAACCCTTAAAGAAACATTGCTAAAGAAGTGGCAAAATATGGATCATATGATTGTTGAGTACTTGATCAAATCCATGAAAAATTGAATACAAGAACTGAAACAAGCAAATGGAGGATCTACTCCATACTAGTTCCAAATACTGTTTATTTATGTTGAGTTGGGATTACATAATTAAATTTTGAAGTTGCATATAGTTTATTTCTCCTGGTTAAAAAACTTTTCTATCTATTATCTATCTATCTATCTATCTATCTATCTATCTATCTATCTATCTATCTATCTATCTATCTATCTATCTATCACATACAAACGTTGTATACGTATAAACCCTAATTTACTCTCTTAAGTTTGCTAAAGCAGTCATGAACTCATCAAAATTATTTAGTGATTTTTTATTAACTCAGCCACTCGGTTTGTTTGCAAATATTTTTTTTTTACCCTCATCATATGTATTCGTCGAATAAATTAATGTCAATCTTATGTCCACATATGCCTATTAATAACATGTTTGGGCCGCAGGCGAAATCACGATCGCGTGCGAATTGACAAAAATTGAAAAAAAAAAAACTTTGAAAGACGAATGATTACACATTCGAGTTTGAACCGATTTTTCAATTTATCAATTTTATTTAAATTTAAATTTCATTAATGTAGAGAGTTATCAGTTTTAATATCTATCTATCTATCTATCTATACGGGCGATGTTTAACTTTTAAATCAGATCTATGTCTAACTTTTTCACTCGACTGTGAGCAAAACTTCTGTCTACCTTTATGATTCTCGTATAAATCAGACATACATCTACCTTTTTGACATTTGTGTAGCCTGGACCAATGTTTGTCATTTTACTCTCAATTAAACTAAAACATTGTCTACGGTTTTGACTTTAGCTTAAATTAATTAATTAATCTATCTATCTATCTATCTATCTATCTATCTATCTATCTATCTATTCTAAAATGAATGAAACGCAAGTTGGAAAGATTGTACCAAACTTCTTAAATTCAGGAACATTAACAGCTCAGAAATCTTACTACTGAAGTTATGTACATCTATCTCAACCACCAAATATTCCGTATGTCATTCTATATATATATATATATATATATATATATATATATATATATATATATATATATATAATATAACGATATATATGTCTATAATCAAGAATAGTATTGGGGTAAATATCTAAAGAGTGCCTTAATCGCAGGGTCATCTACAGTAAATGTGCACCCTGGCACTTACAACATTTCACCATTGTTGGCAGATTTTCTAATATCACAATGTCGAATACCTACTTACAAAAAATGATGGAAAGTAAGAGAAAAAAATCTAAATGAATCCGGCTAGATAAAAAAAAAATCACGAAATTTAGTGCGATGAAGTCCTGATGGGCGAAACGCGTCAGAAGTAAAATGTTTTCACTTTGTCATTAAATTTTGGCATATATATATATATATATATATATATATATATATATATATATATATATATATATATTGTTTTAACATATGGTATATTTATGGGAGGACGTGCTTAATATCAGAAATAGAACGTATGTAAATATAAAAGTAGATATTGAAGATATTGTATTAACTATTAATGCAAGGAATTTTAGTCCTAATTTGTTTTTTACCATTTGGCTGTATGGGGGGGGGTGTATATCAAATTATTTTTCTATTTCTGTTTTTTCTATGGTTTCCATTTTCCTTTTTTTATATGAGTTAGTTTAAATTAAGTAGACCACGTGACCATAGAGGAAACGCATAAGTAGAAATTAGCGTGATGTAGAAAATTAGCGTGATGTCCTCTATTAAACGATCGCTATTAATATTCTAGTCTGTCCTCCATTAATATTCGATCGGATCACCATTCTAGTCTATCCTCTATTAATATTCGGATCACCATTCCTAGTCTATCCTCTATTAATATTCGGTCTATTCGGATCACCATTCCTAGTCTGTCCTCTATTAATATTCGGATCGCCATTCTATTCTATTAATATTCGGATCGCCATTCCTAGTCTATCCTCTATTAATATTCGGATCACCATTCCTAGTCTGTCCTCTATTAATATTCGGATCGCCATTCCTAGTCTATCCTCTATTAATATTCGGATCACCATTCCTAGTCTATCCTCTATTAATATTCGGATCACCATTCCTAGTCTATCCTCTATTAATATTCGGATCACCATTCCTAGTCTGTCCCTCTATTAATATTCGGAGCCATTCCTGTCTATCCTCTATTAATATTCGGATCACCATTCCTAGTCTATCCTCTATTAATATTCGGATCACCATTCCTAGTCTGTCCTCTGTTACTATACGGACCGCCATTCTCTATAATATTCCTCTATTCCGATCGCTATAAGGATTACTATTCGAAGGAGTATTATCGATCAATTATCATTAGTGCGAGTGATATTCGAAGGCGTCCGACACCAGTATTGTTCGACGGCGTACTATATTTGTATCTGCGATTACAAAGTCTCTACTACAACGAGCATTAGGAAAGTGACAATGAGTATTCGTTGTTATCACAAAAGTGTCAAACGTGTCTCCGTTGACATCACGAAAAATGGATGTGATGAACGAATAGCAGGTGAAAATTATGAGGATAAGGAAAATAGATGACAATTGACCTTTGACTTGAAGAAGTTAAGATTTTAGTGTTCAGGGAGGCATTCTCGCGGGAGTCAGTTATACACAGTAACCTTTCTTTGGAAGAAAAAGTAGACTGAAAGTTTCTACTTACATTTTGAATACGAAGGGAAGGTGATTCGACTCCATGGAAGCAGCATGAACTAGTAGAATTAAAAAAATGGACGTCTGACCATTTGCCATGGAAATATCGACGGCCCAGCGATGAAGTTTTGAACGTTGCGTCTGTGGGATAGAGGCTATAGGAGGGAGAATAGATTTTTCTCCACAAGTCAGTGTAAACAATTTTGAACTCTATCGAGTCGGTAGAGTGACGATTTAACGGATATAGTTTCTGTAAGTGATTGATTCAGATGTCTCCAATTTGTGGCTTGGATTCTGGACTGTCCAGCTAACAAACATATATTCCGTCTTTTTGGGTCTGACATCGTGTCACCAACGCACATTATGTTAAGGTTATGTCTATCAATAATAAATCCTGGTAGGACTTCCAGCTATCTTATGATTGCCTATTTGTGTTTAACGTATTCCAAAACAGATTAGAGAAATTGCCTTTTGACTATTAATTTCAGTTCAACGCAGTCAAAGCTGTAAATAGAGGGATGGAAAGCTCCAGCCCAGGTATAGAAGCAATACTCTATTTTTGGTCTTATCTCGTTCATGTGACGATAAAGCATGGCAAGTAGGTTAGATACTTTCTGAAGATGCATATGGAGCCGACTATTTTCCCCAAATCTTTAACGATGGATTTTATGTACTGATAATCATAAAGACATTTGTTTCAAATTAAGTTTCTTTTTTCTTTTAGGGTATTATATATAGAACCTAATTTCTGGTGGAATATAGTCTTTACCCTCTTTTTCTTTTAGAACTATATCTATAAATACACTGTTAAATAGCAAGTATATTTTGACGCAAATTAATGGACAGAAAAGTGAATTGAGTTTATTTATTACCGGGTCACGAATTTAATGGTGCCTGATTCATTACTATAAATATCTACGAACTTCCGTTTTTGTTTAAGTACAGTCTGTATGATTCGTTTTTATTTTCTATTTTCTTTTATTTATAGGTGCAATTTTTAAAATTGTTTATTGCCTCGTCTTTATGTCTAACACTGGAAATTGCTACAAAACCAAAATATTAAGATGAAAACACAAGTCATATTATTAAATATTCTCGTCAGATCGAGGCTATCATATGGAGGCCATGGATGTCGCCGTTCAGAAATATCTAAACTGTCATCTATATAGAATTGTTTTCTAAGATCAATAGTTAAAAATGGCTTTGAGCGAGTGTA